TATAGATAAGAGTTTAAAAGATAATGTTGTAAAAAATACTAGAGTTGGAGATAGAATTATAACCCTTAAGATTATCATTGATACTAAGATTTTTAATATTATAAGTGTTTATGCTCCTCAAGTAGGTTTAGATATAAGGTCTAAAGATAAATTCTGGAATGACTTAGAAGACTTAATAGAAATGATACCTCTTGAAGTAAGAATTTTTATTGGAGGAAATTTAAATGGACATGTCGGTAGAGTAGTAAAAGATTTTAGAAATATTCATGGTGACTACAGTTATGGAATGACTAATGAAGAAGGTAAAACTATTTTAGATTTTACTTTAACGTATGATTTTGTTATTACTATTACTTTATTCGAAAAAAGAGATAGAGCATTTTGTTACTTATAAAAATGGATCTAATAAAACACAAATTGATTATTTTCTTATGAGAATCGGGTCTGTTGTTCAAAGCGATGGTGATGTATATGGGGATGTTAATAGTAGAATTCAAGTTGGTTGGTTGAAATGGAGGAATGCTTCAGGCCTTTTGTGTGATAGAAAAGCATCGCTTAGACTGAAAGGAAAATTTTATAAGAAAGTGCTCTATGGCGTTGATTGTTGGCCTTTAAAAGAGAAGCATAATACTAAGTTAAGTGTTGCTGAGATGAGAGTTAAACATTTAACAAAAGATATACTTGGAAAATTTAAAGAAAAAATTTCTATAAATACAAATAGTTGGTGATGGAATAATAATGTGCAATAAAAGATAAAATATAAGAAGTTTTGTTGTAAAAATTGGTTTAAATGTCAAAGCTTAGAGAATTGGGAAAAACATCAAACGACCCATAAAGAGTCTAAAAGAACAATTTATGACGCTAAAAATTCTTTTTTTAATGATTTTTAGAATAGATGAAATACTAAGGAGGGTGAAATATATATATATATATATATATATATACTAGACAAACAAAGAGAAAAGAAAAATAAAGATTTGTTGTCGTTGTTTATTTAAATTAAATTAGACTAATTAAATTTATTAATTTAATTAAACATCTCAACTAATAATTGATTGGTAATTTATGAAGTTAATTAAATAATATCTTATATTTTGATAAATTAAATAAAAAATGTAATTAAATATTAATTAAATTAAGATAAAATATTTTTAATTAGGTATTATTAACTATTATGTATAATTAAAGTGCTTAATTAAACATACGCGCGCGCGCGCTCGCGCACACACACACACACACTATATATATATATATATACCTATATCTATATATGTATATGTATATATATGTATATATGTATGTGTGGCATTTACATACTCAGCACAGAATTCTATTGTGCCATGTACTTACATATCTCAGACCTAAACTTTCATATTTATACAAATAGAACTCAAATCTTAAATACTACAAAAAACTAGTACTATTACCGCTTTTTGAAAGTAAAATTATAATTTGTTCCCAATCATTAAAATTAAGTAAACTTAATAAATTCTATTTGATAAAATTAATTCATAATTAATAATAATTTGTTTAAAATAATATATTCTTAATTAATATTTATTTTAGTTTTTCTCTAATAAATATCATTTAATTAATTTTAAATAATATTAATTATTTAATGTGGGAATTAAAAAAAACCTCCAATGACAAAGAAGTGTGGAAGTTTTGTGAACTCGATGGAGAAGGCATCAATAAGAGTAGAGGTGTATGAAGAAGATGAGTTTCTGAGACTTGAGATTTTAAGTTAAATCCACCCAATTTTAGGATATCTAAATTTGAGATTTAAGGTGAATACAAAATATATGAGATTTTGCGGGATTTATCATAATTCTAGTATAAGTTTAATATCAAATAGCCCCTTAATATTATTTAAGAGATTAAAATGTATGTTTTGAAAATTTAACATCATTTTACTGTTTCTATCAATTATTTAGGTAATCATGAAGACTATCTTCTACTTAACAAATATTATTTGTAGATTATGATGGAGAAAGGATTAAGGGAAATTTATTGAGCTAAACATTTAGAAAGTTCACGAATGTGGTAAAGTACATATATATATTGGTTAATTTTATGGTATATGATAAATGATAGCTTATGCGTGGTAAACCTATCTTATTAAACAAATTAAATGATAGTCAATGAATATGTATAATTTAGTATTAACATTTAAATTGATTTTAACATGTACTTAGGATTTTATAAACCTGGGGTTGGTGACATTCTATGATGAAATTACTAAATAGCTAGTGATGATGTGGGTTAAATATGAAATATATATTCGTGAAATCCTTTGAAATTATCTAACTATAAAAATATGCTTAAATTAGTTGTTTTGATTATATAGCCTTGATATCATGTTTGATATGAATCTTTTTAATTGAGGATGTGCGGAGTTGTATAATCCAAAGTGAGATTTGTTTGTAGTTATGGCTAATGCATTGATGGCTGATGCATTGGACTGCATTTGCCCACCGTCGAGTGGATGATTTTTTGTTTGTTAAGGGATAAACTAACTTAATCTGTGAGGGATATTTTTCTTGCCACTATTTTGAGGCTTGATTGTTAATATATATTATGAAATATACTTTATTCATTCATAATGTTTTTTATGTTTATGTTGATATAATGAGACACTTAGTCTTGTCGTGTTATTTGTAGCATAAATTATCGGGTTGTTTTTGTACCTCTTGTTAACTAGTGTGAAATAAATCTTGTTGCAAAGTATTAAAGCATTTGATATGTTATAGATTTTAATCATATTGATGCTAAATTATTTTGTTATTACACATTGACTATGGAATAATATTTATATTACTGAATGTAAATATCAGTAGTACCCTTGTGTTGATATGATTGACTAGTTAGATCAATGTGTTGGTGACTCTTCTTGAGTTCATTGGACTATATTAGATAGGTGAAAACAATCTTTTTATTTAAGGTATCCGTACGAATTAATTAGATAGATGTATAAATATATAAAATGTTATAGAAAGTGACTAATGATTCAATTTTGGATGTATAAATATGGTATGCATGCAAGTTGATGTTTGACATTTAAATGCAGTGATGGTTATTTTGCATATGAATTCTTACGAACTTTATTGTATAATAAGTACCACTGAATTGCTTTATATCTGATAATCTCATCTCGCATGTTAGATTATTTTGGTATAATATTTATATCTTTTTTTTTGGTATAATATATATGTTTATGATATAATATCTGTTATCACTGTTGCCTTTTTCATTGATCATATTCTTATTCTATGCCTTATCTGTGTACCATAGCCAACTCACTCACCTTTTGAGAATGTTTCATGCCAATTCACACCTATTATTTTTTAGTAGTTCTAGATCATTGAAATGAGACGTCTTAAACTCATGCTTCAAGCATATTGGGTAGGTAATTAAGGTTATAAGTTATTTAATTTATTTATAAGAGGTTTATTTACTTAGATTATTGTAAAAGTTAAAATTAGTTCATATTTTGTTGGATAATCTAGTAAATGCTATAGGATTTAGATGCTCTAGTATTTTCTTTTTAATGGATAATTATCATTGTGGAAAAGTTTATATTTATTGAATTAATCTAAATTTATCAGTTTACCCTATCCTATCAGTCTCTTATTGATTTTCTTCAAGTTTCAAATGTGTGGGATTTGACAGAGGCGTCTAAGAGTAGTATTTTATCTTCTTCTTCCACATATTCAATTGAATATTCTGACTCCGAAGGACTAGGCATCATGAGTAAGGATTTCAAGAGCACCCTAAAGAGGAAGAGATCGGGGTTGCAATCCACTGAAGAAAGCCCCATTAACTCTCAAGCAAGATCATCACCTCATAAATGTCTTACTGATGGAGATATTTCCTGCAGGAATGTAAGCATTCCTCCAAATATTTGACTTTTTTATTGCATTGCATTCTTTTTTTTTGAGTAATTTAATTAGTTATCCTGACAGGGGTTTAAGGTTTGTGATGATAATATGAATTGCTCTCCTAAATCCGCGTCCAAGAAATTGGCTGACCAGCTCTCTCCCACACCTAAGTGGAACCCAAGAGGCAAGTAAAATGCTTTTCTATGATATGGAGTCCTTTCCCTCAAGAATTTTGATCCTTTTTCTCTTGAGCTTTTCCTGCAAAATTCAGTGAAATTGCATTGCTTTTCGACCTTGTAAGAGGTAAATTAAATCATTTTATTATATAATTTTTCCCAGTAGCACTGAAACTCAGGCTCATCTTTTCTTCTTAAATTTGCTCTTTTAAATCAAAATACTTGTCATATAAAGCTATATTGAGGAAAATAGAAATGATAGATTCATATAAAGATAGTTGAGATTTCTATTTCATTTATTTTTTCAAAAAATTGGACGGTAAAAGAATGAAAATTGTGGGACAAAAGAGCCAGATGCTTTAACATTTGCTTGTGGCACAAAATGAAAGATTCAATGCTGACTAAAAAATGGTTTGAACCGTAGTTTAGCTTCTAGTGGTCTTGTTCAGCGAGAATGATAGCAAAAGTTAAAGATTAGCGTTGTGCTTGCATTGTCCCTTGACATGGTTGGATTTGGATGGACATGTTTTTTATAAAGTTTGAAGACTATAGACAAAGGAGGAAATTGAGTTCAAATCAAAGCATATTGTGTAGAATTATTGAAATAATCTGCTGGGTAAGAGCGCTTGATTTTTCCCTCTTGAAGTAGAAATATGTGAAAGGTGCCTTCTATGCAGGAGCACGTTTGCATAAGTATTCTTTCCTGCCTCATTGAGAAAAACAAGGAATCTCTTTTGATTTTGGCAGGGTAAATATTATTATCCCAATGGTCATTTTTATCATCTCTTCTTTAAGAATAGTATGAATGCGGAGAAAGCCTAGTGTGTTTGTGGGAAGAAGGACAAAATACGTAGAGATCAGCTGTAATATAAATCAAGTAGATAGACGTTAGAGTTGCTTTGTCTTATAGTTATGCTGGAATAACTACGAAAGGAAGTAATGCATTAGTGGTCACTATGATTAGGTGATATTTTCATTCTACCACATTGCCGTGTTGCGAGAAGTCTCTGAAATCTTGTACATTTCTTATTGCCTTACTTAATAAACCCAAAGATAACATTCTCATCATGAATGAATGGGGACATTGATTGAATATTTTAATTTGAGTGTTGGATATTTCAAAGCTTGACCATGAAACTTCCTCAAATGAAAACTTTCTCAAATTGTGTCTCTTAGACCTGACAGGCAATGCAGTTTATCACAAAGTATGTGCTGACAACATTTTTTCTAGGATTACAATTCTAAGTGGCTCAATGATGTGGTAGACTTAACATTACAATACTTTGCTTGAGCCTTGACCTGTATTTGGTGAATGCATCTTCATATACTAAGGTTTCATGTCAAACTCTCCAACGGAAAATATGTAAGATAAATGATAAAAAATTCACCATATGGAAGAAGAGTTTACAAGGTGGAATAAAAGCTGGATAAGATATGCGCCAGAAAGTATAAACATAATAACCCTTATTGGACAAAGTGTTATTGGGCTGACATTAGTCAGTTTAGAGTTTTTGGTAGAAACAAAACTCGAACATTCTAGCCTGCATATGAGATTTCCTAATATCAACCAGAATGGTACTGTTCTAACATTGGGTCCATTGTTTTGTCCATTGGGCTCATATCTCAGCAGTTCAATTGCTCTTAAAGTGTTTGCACATGTTCTCTGAGAGACATTGATAACATCTTTAGATTGAACAGCTCTGATAAAGTACTTCATTTAATTCTTTTGTTTTAAATTGTGACTCTAAATGATCCTTAATATGAGTGATACTGTTTCTGTCATCTCCATTAATGACAGTCCTCAACTTATACAACCAGGGAATGTTACTTTGCTTACATTATATATAGGATATAGGATGATCTGCAATACGAAGCTCAGAATGTATTAAGCTGAAAAAGATTTCTATTTTTTAAGTCCTCAGATTTCTGTGGACTTTTTTTTTTCTTTTTTGGCTTAATTATTCATGTATAAATAATTCTGTATGAGTCTCCACCAGGATCATTCATGGAAGCTCCATTATTTCTACCTTATCTGTTTTTTCTGCAACTTAACTACACCTATGGATAGCAATAAACTTTAAATTTGCTAATTTATATTTCTCTCACTTCGCTTGATTGTTGCAATCCAACTGTTTTTGGCTTCTAAAATCAGAATAAATATCATTGTTGCAATCTAACTGTTTTTGGCTTTTAAAATGAAAATAAGTAAAATTCCTGTCCAAAATTTGCAGATCCTGTACATATGACGTCTGTGAAGCGGGCACTGCATGTGGCAACTGTCCCTTCTAATGTTGTGTGTCGTGAAGTGGAGCAGAAAAGGGTTTTTGAATTCTGTAAGGCTTGCATTGAGCAAGAGAAAGCTGGCAGTATATATGTTTGTGGGTGTCCTGGAACTGGGAAGACATTGTCCATTAATAAAGTGAAAGAACAACTTTTCTCCTGGTCAAAAGAGGTATATACTCTCATATTCTGTTTGGTTATTTTCTAAAAAGTGGAAAATACTTTTATATGGTATATCAAACATGGCTTTTCCGGGATAAATTTCTTTCTGCTTTTGTTTCATTTATATTTGAGATATATATGCGTAATTGCAACATGTTTTATGAATGCACAAATCCTTATTTTATTTCCGACAGCTTCTACTTGTTCATAAAAACACCTCTTATTTGAGATGCATAGTGGCATCTTTTATTGCATCTTAACTCAAAACTTTTTTGTATTCAACAATGGTGGATATCGGCTAAAAAATTGTACTTTCATCATTTGATTTTTTTCATGCAGGCTCATAATTAATTAAAAGTTGTTTCTGTCATCTAGGCTAGAGAAAAAAATATATGGATTTAATTGTTTTCAAGTTATGAAATGAATGTGCAATCATGGGCAATTGGAGGATTTGGCCAATTTTAGTAGTACTCAGTTGACACATCGTTGGTACTGAGTTAACTGCTGGAGTAAGAAGCTGGACTTATTTTGTATAGCTAGTGCTTTGGAAATGAATGCAATGAAATAATGGAGTAATACGTTTAACTTGCATACCACATTTATTATGAGCATGATAGCTTCTTCAGATGTTTAAGAGAACTATACTTATGTACTAAGTATTGTTTATCTTGTTAAACTAGCTGCAAATAGGCTGATATGATTTTATATTTGCTCTAATGCTGCAGCTTGAGTTTCTTTTGACATGTCATTTTTTGTTTCACGTCCTCGAAATTGATATATGGAATTAAGCCATATAATACTTTGGTTAAGGGCTTATAATCAGATTTATACTTGTTACCATAACATAACTGGTTTTTTCTTATCAGTGTAATTTTCAGTGTAATTTTTAGCTGATTATATATAACTACCAGGTGGGACTGCAGCCACTGGAATCGCTAGCAATAAATTGTACTTCTCTGAGAAATACATCGGAAATTTTTAACAAGGTACTAAGGAACTCGGAGAGCAAACATGAACAAATTTCTTCTTTATTTTTTTTCCCTAAAGGACTATTTTATTTACATCTTCCTTATAGATACTGGAAAAGCTTAATTCTTCTAAAAAGAGAAATGGCTGCTTAACTCCTCTCCAGCACCTGCAGGATTTGTTTTCTCAAAGAAGTTCAATTTCTGGAACAATATTGTAAGACCGTCTCTTATCTGTAGATGGACCCTTTTTTTTTCCTATCTTGGCTTTAAGCGGTACAATGTCCTATCTTTAAAACCTTAACTATCTGTGAAATTGTGCAACAGGTTGGCAGTAATTGACGAAATGGATTATTTAATAACTAAAGACCAGGCAGTACTTCATGACCTTTTTATGCTTACAACATTTCCTTTTTCCCGTTTCATATTGATAGGTATTTTTTGAGTGTCATAATTTAGTAATTGTGTACCTATATTAGTTTTAAACTTATTAATGCTTCTATTAAGAGCTCCTAAATCGTTGTTTTTTTAAGTAATCCTCTTTTTTTTTCAGGCATAGCTAATGCAATTGACCTAGCAGATAGATTTCTCCCAAGACTGAAATCTATGAATTGTGAGTTGTTTTGTATCCTCTCTCTTGTCCTTTACAGAAGAGATTAATTTTGACACAATTTGGAAGACTCTGCAGCAAAATATGAGCAGAATTCACATTCCGTTGTACTTTCATTGTGTTAGGTAAGCCCTTTGTGTTGACTTATTGTGCATACTCTAGAGATCAAATAATTGAGATCCTTCGGCAGAGACTTACGGTAATTCTGATGTTCATGCTCTTTGCCAATTTAATCTTGTAGTGTAACTACAGTGCCTACCGTGTTGCTCTAACTACTCATGGACGTACACTTAAATCATTATCAATGTTTAGCTTACTTTTTAATCCACTTTTCTCGTAGCATTGACCCTGACTTTGGCAGATTCTTGGATACAATGTCTTTCAACCTTTAGCTCTAGAATACTGTGCAAGAGTAAGTTGACCTTTTTTTTCATGTTGCAAGGATGACTTTTGTTCTCAAATATTTTGGCTAATTTTTTTTCATAGTGCATGCACTCCTAAATCATATTATTTCTTGATTAAAACGTGTAGGCGTCCCAAATATCATTGAATGATCTTAAAATGTCTATTTGTGTCATATAAAGCTGTGCATGAATGTTGGTTGTCAGAGATTGAGCACAAAACCTGCTTCTTTGTTTTTGAAGCATATCTGTGAGAAAAAAGCTTGATAATTGAGAGGAAAGTTACTGTCCTATAAACAGTGGTGGAACTTGGGGTAAAGCGAAGTTTGTGTGCCAAGTTTTCCGTATCCTCCAAGTTCAGTGCAAGGCCTGTTGAAGTTATATATACAATAGAAGCGTTTTCCCAGCTAGTCCTTTTAGTTTGGTATATTTTAGATTTTTTTTTGACCCTTTTCTTGTCTTGGCTTTAGTGCCTACTAAAAAGTTTTATATTATTATGGTCATAGATGTGGTGCACGCCCATTCACAGCGAACCTATAAATGTTTCATATATTTGTGATTTTTTATATTATTATGGTCATAGATGTGCAGCGAACCTATAAATGTTTCATATATTTGTGATTTATTAATGAGTTGTTATATAGCTCCAAGCTGATCCATCCATCTATGCTCTAGCATCCATGCTCTTACAATTAATATCAGTTTCAAATGTAGATGCATGGATGTCTGTGTGCATACACAAACACACAACAAATTTCTTTTATATTGTTAGCACTTAACATTTGTTGTATTCAATAGGATAAATGAGTTTTTTTACTGAACTGTATAAAGTTTGTTTTAGTACTTTTATTTATTTATTTTTGCCAAATACGATGACACATTACTCTTTCCAAATTCTGACATTTTCTAACACAACAGAAAGTAGCAGCTGCGTCAGGAGATATGAGAAAAGTACTTGATGCTTGCAGGTTTAACTCAAAAGCCTTCCTAGAATTTTTCTTTCTAACTATGTTTTTCCGTTTCTTATGCAAAGTTTAGGTAATATTTAATATTGTTGGTTTTCTTTTTAATGCATTTCAACGTTATGAGCAATTGTGGATTTCAACTATTATTTCAATATGCACCAGTGAACTCTATTTCCGATGATATGATTATTGGTTCTCATGTATAAATCTCAAGTTAGAGTTTGACCACCTTCCTTGCTTTCAGTTGCAAGCATGGAATGCGTTATGTTTAGTAGCTCATTGCATGGAGTTCATAAGTGTATAACTTGTTTTGTGCCCTATGTACAATCAATGAAATTATCTGGGATGTATTTCCATCCTTGAAAAAAAGGGGGAAATTTACATTCATACCACACAATTCTTATATATTTGCATATCTAACTCCTAAAGTTTGATATTTAAACTTACAATACTTTGGTGTCTTAAAGCTATGCATGAAAATATGTACTTCACTTTTTAAAAGTTAATAATGATGATATTTTTGACGTTATGTTAAAGTTGAGTGTTATAAATGTATATATGAATGTTTAGCTGTTAGATATGTAAATACATAAAAATTAAGTGGTATGTATGTGAATGCCCACCAAAAAAATATCATTAAAATAGGTAGGCAATTTTCTTCATCCAATTCAACTTTGGAAAGTAAAGATTAAAATATTGATCGTTCTTTGCTAAAATTTAGAAGCAACACAGTAAATTCACTCCTTTTTATGTTGAAGATGTGCTACACATTAAGCAAGCCTTTTTTGCACATTCTAGGACTGCGATTGAGGTGCTTGAGACAGAGTTAAGGGACAGCTCTATCAAGAAACAAGCTAACTTCGTAAGTCATTTAACAAACTAACTCTTAATGAACTTTTATACATCTTACATTGCCTATTAATAATCTTTAATGGCCATAATTACTTTCCTCTAAGCTTTATTAGATAGCGTTGTGATTTGTCATCACTGATTTGCTAGCACATTTAATTTTTACTTCTGCATGCATGTGGATATGCTTTTCATCCCTGTTCAAATAGCTTAAGAGTAATAGGATCCAAGTGTTTTCATTATTGAAAGGATGGCTTCCTCATTTGTAGGAAGACCCGCCTATCCAATTCATTGTCCGTATTTTATATATATATATATATATATTCCGATTATCCATTTCAATGTAAAATATGAGCATGTTGAATTGTATTTATATTGCATTGATTAAAGAGTATTTATTTAAATGCTATTGATGCTTTCTAATGTAATGCTGTGATCTGTCATAAAGGGTAAAAATACTTTTTAATAATGTTGCAGGTAACTTTTGATCACATGGATGTTGCATTGTCAAAAGCATTTAAGTCACCAACAGTGGATATCATAAAATCTCTTCCACAACACCAACAGGTAAACTTTAAGCTTTTGATCAACCATTTGCAACTATAGCCAATTTCGAACTGGATCGTGTTACTGCCAATATTCAATGTGTTGTTTTCTATGAAAAATTAAAAAAGTCTCGTTTGCTTTTTCTCTATGACAGCATTGTGAGAGGCTCTTTCTAATTTCTGGTTGAGGGAGCTATAAAAATCCCTTATCTTATGCTTATGAAATTTGGTATATAGTTTTTATTGCTTTAGAAGTTAAAGTTTGTTGATTAGTAAGGTTTGCTTGTAAAAATTTGATCTACTCAATTGATAGCTTCATTTGGTATTATGTGAATCACGTGTTATAATTTTTATATGCTTGAAGATAGTATTAATGTTGAGAAACATTATTTTTTCTTATATTGAGTGGGATAAAAATATTATGATTTATTACAATGGGTGGGTAACTTCAAAAATAATGTTAGTTTTTTTTTAATGTTCAGCTTCAGCTTGATCATAACAATATGGACTTGATCATATGGTTCAATAAACTTTTGATACATTGAGAGAGAACAATAGCTTTTTATCTCCTTAAAATCTATTGCAGATAGTATTGTGTTCCTTGGTGAAGCTCTTTCGTGGTTCAAGAAAGAATGCTACTATTGGAGAGGCAGGTTTTTCTTTTTCATGCATTTATTTTTTTCATATATTTGAAATCTGGAGTAATTTGAAACATTGCTGCTTCTTTTGTTGCATGCCTGAGATTTCTGAAACAACTTCTACAGTAAATCAGGATAAGACAATCTACAGCTATATATGAAACAATTTATATGTAGTACATAATGAACTTCTAAAAATCCCTAATCAATTAAAATTACATATTTTTGTTTATTGCGATTTATATGTTGTACATAATGAACTTCTAAAAATCCCTAATCGATTAAACTTACATATTTTTGTTTATTGCGATTTTGAATCTGATCTAATGGCTTGGGTCATCCTAAAAATGTTATTACTCTTATGGATTTTCATTTCTGATTTTGTTCATCTAAAGTCCACTGTCTTGCACTTTGATGGACATTAATGCATCTTTGAGCTTATACTTCATACCTTTGCTTAATTATCTTGAAAAAATAATGTAACGGTACAGCTGAACAAATCATATTTGGAAATATGCAAATCCGCTCATGTCCCGGCCGTTGGATCACTGGAATTCACAGATATGTGTAGAGTGCTGGGTGATCAGGTTGAAGTTAATTTAAAGCATATTTTTTTTCGTATCTTACCTACTTTATTCTGCACTAAGTGTCATCATATTATTCTTTGTTCCAATATCTTCAGGGACTAATCAAACTTGGTCAGTCAAAACAAGAAAGACTGAGGACAGTAACATTACAAATTGAAATTTCAGACATTTCTTTTGCTTTTAAGGTATATAAAATTGATGAAAACTTGTGTTTTCTATTTTTTTTTTTAATTTAAGTAAACTTATTAGCTTTACTTAACATATTGCAGGATATTCGATTTTTTAAAAATTGCCTTGAAGATTAGTGCCCTAGCTACAAGGTGATTCACACGAGAGCAACAAATAAGAATAATAATTCTTCATTTTTGTTTAAGGTTAGACTTCATAATTTGGTTCCTGCATCACTGAGGCCTGCTTGAGTGATGCAATGAAAGTTATAGCCTTTCCATTAATAATTTCGTTAAGCCTATATTTATGATAGCAACAGATTACTGGCCTGCCCCCAATGTAGCCATGTAGGAAACTTCTTCTTTGGATATTATCGCCAGAGGTAATTGGAGGAATGTTGCTAATGAGCAGTCATAGTTTGAAATTCAGCAATGTTAATCGGTCCAGGAAATACCATGATTTGCCCCTTTTATGATGGCATGTTTTTATTGTATGTTTCTGAAATTAAAGAGTTTTGTTTATTGATTTTTTCAATGCATTTACTGAAAAATGCTTTAGTATGTTTTCAAAAATTATTGAATTTTAGGTTCTATTTTATTTTTGTTTTTTACTTTTGATTTTGTAAAATTTTTTTTGATAGTATAATTTTTATATATTTTTTTTATTTGTAAAAATAAGTCATTTTGCTTTTAAAAAAAACTTAAAATACTGCCATTTGGGATCACTTTTGTTTTTTTTCTTTTTTGTTTTTATTTTGTTTTATTTGTGTTTTGATTTAAAACAAAACATATTTGGTATGTTGATTAAAAACAAACCCATGAGCATGCACTTGCAAGTCACTGCCTTGCACGCACACGCAACTGCAGCCCCTGCACCCATGTGCTCGACTAGTACTGGCTTGCATTGCTTATGCGGTGTATGGTGCCGCAACTGAATTACTCCTTGACAAAACTGGCCAAGTACTTGCTAAATCCAATAAGGTGCTTGCACGCGCTCACCCATGAGCGTGCCCGTGCGCATCAACCTCCAATACACAATGTTTTAGGGTTTTGACTAATTTGGAGAAATTTAATACCTGTTTAGGACCTCTAAAGCTTGACCTAAGTTTAAAAACACATTTTGTTGATTATGATAACACTTTTTTCCTAGAGGTTGTGCCTCCAAAGCATGAGAGTCTTTTGGAGCTTTTGGGATGTTTTCTTCCTCGGTTTCACTTGAAAGAGTAAGTTTAATATTTATTGTCTTTTTCATGATTGTTTGAAAATTTTTATGAGATTGTAAGGTGAGATTGAGTGCATTTATATAAGAGAGATCCATGAATGTTTGTGTTGATCAGAAAAAACCTTGATGTATTACAAAGGACTGTCTGGTTCTTTATTGAGTCTTCGTGTATTTCTTACATTATCTCCCTTCCTTATACTTGTAATAACAAAGTTTATGTTTACTTTAATCATGTAGTGTATCTAATCTTGTCTCATTTCTATGATGTAAGTTGTGGATTTCTTGTAGTTTTCATGGTAATGATCTTTTGGCATAAATGCTTCATGTTGATGTGTTAATCTTCTAGTGATTATTTAATTTTTGTCAACCTTGATAATAAAGTTAAAATTTTTTGTGATCTATGTCCTCTAACCATTGAATAGAGGAAGGAAAAGGTTAATCTAAGAATCCCGAGGATATACATATTCCAGTAGGATTCTACAATTATTCTAGGGGACCAGAACAAATTTGTGGAAAGCCATGGAGATTGAGGAAGCCTCAACTTCATGGATTCTAGTTTTCTTTTAACCTAGACATAGACATAAGAAGAACATTCTATCGCTGATTGCCAACTATGGCTTGGGACCCATAAAAAAAACTACAAGAAACCACCTGAACTTTGTCACAGGAGTATGAACATTGCATATCTAAGAAAATCAACACAATTTTCTGTTATTTCCTTACCACCCTTTTAGGTCTGTTAAATTCATCTGCTAATTTTGAACTATTTAGAATAGACTTAGTAGTTCAATAAACTAGAACTTCAGTTGTTGAAATATTTTGGCACTATCCTCATGAGATCGATAAACAATACTTTTAACTTCATTATTACTTGCAATGTATATTTACATTGTGTAGCTGACTTATTTCAGAATGAGTTTTGGCGTGTCACTTAGGTAGGTTAGTGCTCAGTTTTGTTGGGTTTAAGATGAGGTTGAGTGCATGTTATTTCAAGTAAGGAAATAAGTAGAGGATGGTGAGAGGATTTATGTTTTTTTTTAGGTTAGGTTAGGATTGATGGGTTATGTGATGAGTTGTGTGTGCATGCTTAGGGTTTTCATGCAGCGGTTTGTGTTAAAGGTTTGCTTTTGGTTTCAGGTAGGGTAATAAGTTAGGGTTTGATATGTGTGAGTGTAATGTTTTTGTTAGGGGTGAGGAGAGGGTTTGATATGTTGATGGTGTGATGTTTTAAGTAAGGGTAAGATGTGGGTTTGGTATGTGAGAGCATGGTGATTTTTTGTTAGGGGTGATAGGTAAGGGTTTGGTCTGTGTGAGATTAATATTTTGGGTAGGGGTGAGGAGAGGAGATGGTGAGATGGTGAGATGGTGAGATGGTTTAGTTTTTAGTATAGGGTTGAAAAGGAGAGGTAAATAGGTGTCTTTAAGGTAGCTAGGAAAATGAGGAGAAAATGGAGAAGAGATTCAGGTTTGGGTTGGAAAAGTGAGACAAGTAGATGTAATTCTTGGTTTTCTGGAAGAAGTGGGGAGATAATGGGAGAGGGATGGAGATCCATCATGATTTTTTTTACTCAACATCTTGTACAATTGAATTAAAATGAAAAAGATGGGAGATATAAGATTTCATACCTTTGCTTTGCTTTGGATTTGCCTTTGGTTCCTTGCCTTAGTTGTGCTTTCCTCCTTGCATCCTTGCTATTCTTGGTTTTGGATGGGTAGAAGAGAGGAGAGGAGAAGCAGTTTTTGGTCAAGAGAGGAGAAAGGAATTTTGAATATTGGGAATGAGAGGAGGGAAATGAGTGAGTCGTGGCTCGATTTTGGCATGAGGGGAAGTTAAGGGGAGGTTTTGGAGGGAAGAAAGGGAAGCAAGGGTTAAGGGATTTTGGGGGAAATATTTTAAAAATGGGAGGTAATTTTGAATTTCAACATGGGTAGTTATGGTGAATTTTGAATTTCAACATGGGTGGTTATGGTGTTTAGGGTGAAAAATATAAATATTGCTCATTTTGAAGAGAATGAAGCACAAATTCTAATGGTCCAATCTTTTTTGGAAAAGGAGGCTTCTAGCATAAGATATGTCAAGTTGAAGTGTCTATTTGTTTACAAGGTGGATATGGTAGTTATGAAAAATTTTTTTGACTTAAGTTTATTTAGTAGATAAACATACATGAAATTCAGCGGTGCAATTAGTTTTGGTCAAAGTGAGCCCCATTTCAAGATATTTCAAGTCAAAGTGTGGGCTCCACCCTATGATAGATTATTTGTGTACTTTGAGTTGGATCTTTTGGATGATTTTAATGGATTAAATTAAGTATTTTTAATTCATATTTAGGTTGGTTAAAATTTGGTTTCAATTTGAGCTTATTTTGGGTTGATTATTAGTAATTATTCTTTTATTCAGATTATCATTGGCTTAAAAGGCTCTCAAATGGAGTAGGATTTGGATATAAAGGGATTAATTTGAAAGATTTTGATGATACAGTTGTACTGACAAAGTCTATTTTGAAAATTAATGATTCATTGCAAATTTTTTATGTGGGATCATTTTTCACGAATGAAAACCCTAGTGTAAAATTTTATGAAAAAAAGGGGTTCAGTGACCCCTGAACGTGAACTTGTTTGCATGCTCTCCATGTGTGAATATAAAAATTATTATGTAACTTATAAAATATAATTTTGATTACCATATTGTCCTGTGGAGAAAATGTTAATTTTATGGTGCATGGAACATTATTCATGCATAAAAATTTAAACTGAAAAATTTTATGTAAAAACCGCATCATTTAGTCATCAAACTTACTTGAATGGTATTTATATATGATAACAAGCAATATGCAACTTCTAGAATTAAGTATCAACCCCTACCCTAATCTAGAGAGAATAATTTCCTGGCATTCGTTGGTGGTTGATTTTTAGGTCAATTTTTGGATTTGATTAAAGTTGGTTTTATTTAGTTTTGTTTTGATTGGCTATCTTCATTTTTTATTTGGTTAGATTTTAGTTTACTGAATTAAGATTTAGCTCAAGATTCAACTCAAGTGAGATTCAACTAAATGCAAGCTACGGAATAGGTTGACTAAAAAATGAGGTCGACATAACATGGGCCTTTCTGTGACACAATGACATTTACTGAATTTCAAACCCTTCAATTTTACTTGAATCTATCAAATGAGTCTTAAAACATCAATCTCACAGAAACTTATAGAATGATCATGGACAATATAAGCCAACACTTTAATCAAAAGTATTCTTTGGAGCCACAACTGTTAAGATGTAATGAACTATGAGGGCTTCGCTTTGTAAGATTACTATATCCTATAATAAAATAAATCCTATCATACTACCGTAAGATAAGAAAATAACCTTTGGTTTATAAACTCATAAATCTTAAGGATTTTTCTCATCATAGTGATTAGATCCATTTAAGGTAACTTTCTCTCACTTAAGATAGTATGTTATTCTTGGAATGACGCATCTTTCATTTATATAAAAATCTTTCAAGATCTATGATCAATTTCCAACCCATCACACCGATAAATAAATCTCTACTAGTCATAATTGAACCTTCCTCAAGGAATATTTGTAAATTCAGTTTGGAATATTGCATAGAGCTTGATGATACAATAAAATCAGTAAAATCTAAGCATACAGTCAAAATTTTGTGAAAATTTTTTGTCACATGGCAAGTGTTAACATCCCACTACACTTGTTGAGTTATAACTCACAATATCAATTGCATGTTTATTATATATTTCCTAAATAACATCATCAACTTATCAACTTTTTAATTCTATTTTAATAGATGGGTATATCTTAGGAAATGTAAAATGGCTAAACTTCATTTTTAATGTGGGTCTAACAAAATATCACAATTAGTAGTAAACTACGCTCCATGAAGTAGATTCATATATTAACAACTATTTAATATAAGTAAAAGTTGGGAGGAAAATATTTGAAGTGGAGTAGTAAGAACTAGAAATGTTTTTTTTTTCAGGTTGCTAAAAAAGACGAGAAATTTTTAAATTTGCTCATACATCTCAAAAATCTAAGTATGATGGTAGCCACATATAATTACTATCTCAAGCTACATAATAACTAAACAAATTTTCATTTAGTAATATGATGAATTGCATCTTAAATATTCTTAAAACCAACTTGAACTATAATATTTAATATGCATGCACAACATCTAACATAGCAGAAATACCCATGAAAATGCAACTTTTTTCTTGATTACAAATTAGGTTTAGTAACAATAACATTATTGCTAGCATTATCT